AACCAGGAAAACTAGGAGGCTGAAATTTTCAGGGAATGTTTCCAGTACGTGTACAACCTAAAATTATCGAAATCAGCTTCTCGGTGTGCGTGGCCCTCATGTGCGGCCTCATGGAAGTTTTTAGCGAGAAAACGGCTAACCTGGGGTCGGAAAAGCTGCGAGGCTGAAATTTTCGGGGAATGTTTCCAGCACATTTACAACAAAAATTTATCAGATTCAGCCTTCAGGCATTCATGGTTCTCGCGTACGGCCCCGTAAAATTTTTTGGCGAAAAAATGGTTAGCTCGGGAAATAGGGAAGCTGGGGGCTAAAATTTTAAGAATATGTTCCCAGCTCCCGTAAAAGTCAAAGGCATCAAATTCAGCTCTCATATACGTGTGTTTCTCACGTACGGATCCATGAAATTTTTTGGCAGAAAAATTGGTAACTCCAAGAATCGGAAAAGTTTAAAAATTGAAATTTTAGCGGGATGTTTTCTGTCCAAGTACCACGTAGACAATTAACTTCCCGAACATCGAGGACTAGTATTTCACAAATCCTAGCTATTAGGTTTCCGAGCGATCTCATTACAGCATGAAATACCGAAAGGCGTTTTAATCTACACATTTCTGCCCCCATAGCTGCATGCATGAATGAGTTTCATTTTCTCTGTATGAGCATCAAAATAAGACAAATGCACGAGTTTTTGCCTTTTCAGTGATTTTGTTCCTTCTTCATCTTCGATTTTTTATTTGTTTGAAAATTTAAGTGTCGTATTCCTATACTACAAAAAAAGTGTGAAAAATGTGTTTGAAGTTAAAGCAGCTGAAAACGACGACGAGCACTGTTTCCACAAGGGTCTTCCAGTGAACCGCGTCAAAGTGCTGGAGGATGATGATTTTAAGTATATCAAAGAACTATGCGAAAATCATGCAGGATGGAATCTCGCATACGATAAACGAATGGTGAAAGTGTGGACGAAAGCCGTACCTAAGTGCCATTTGCATATGATAAAAGTATTGCTTCAACCCTCGAAATGTCTATATTCACCCCTTTTGGAAAGGCAGAGTACTTGTAACAATTTTCGACAATAGCAAGTACCTTTCACCTGCTAACAACGCTGCAGAGGCTCCCTCATTCGGAGTTTGTCGACAAGCATACTGAAGGCGAATATGTCTCGCTGGCATGCGCCAGTGCCAATTTACGATCGAAACAAACAAAGTGTAGAGAGATTGTTCGTTCCACTGTTCTCAAGTAAAAGTAAAAACACTAGCAAGTATCTGAACTCGAGATGAGACTTAGGACATATAAGAATTTGAAGGCTGATTTCAAAGTTATTACTGTGCTTGGGTCAGCGGTCAGTCGCCAAAATTTTAGCTTCCTCGATTTCATGGTTGTTCAGACTCAAAAAGACATTACCACGCCATAATGCATTTCTCGTTTGCCTATGCAAAATGACACAAAGCTCTAAAATTGTTGCAGGCGAAAGCAACATTATCAGACGTACCGGCCTCTGTGGCTTATGATGTGTTGCATGACCCCTACTACAGGTCCAGCTGGGACAAGTATCATGTTGCGGCAAAAGATATAGGCATAATCAATCCCAACAATGATGTCTGCTATTACGCTGGTATGTGTTTCATTTTAGTCAGGTCACGATCACGTTAGTTTTACACCTCCACATTCGCTCTTTAAGAGGAGGGGTACTCAGAAGACAGCCAAGGTGCAGCAGTTGCTAGCAGTGACTACGTACTGACAAACCTATCGACGGTTACCTCTTTTTACGTGTTAGGCAAATAAAACGTGGCAGTTTGGTCCGAACTCTATCCTGGAATTTTTTTAAGCGATTTTCGGGAAGCTGAAAACAGGCAGAACGGCATAGAATAACTGACAGATGGCAACCTAAAGGTGGAGAACTGATCTTTAACTAATGCTACACCGCACAGTAGTCACTCTGATGGCGATTCTGAAGTTAGTGGCATTTTCTAAAATGATTAACAACTTAACGATTTTTCCATCAGAAGCACTTGAAAA